AGGGAAAAAGCCATGGCTTCCCACATTTTTTTCCTTTAAGGAGAATCCATTTTTAAAGTTTGTTCATTCATTTTTGACATACAAAAAACTAGAACTCTTCGTCCGAAAATGATACCTTTTATTAGACCAACTGGAAAATGACAAGAAAAATGTCTTTTTCTGCAAGCTTTTGGGGTCGAAGTCCTGTTGTCAGGCTCTGGGAAAAGTGTAGATGGTACAAGATGGTAAAAAGTCCCCATAGGTAGGAAATAAACTTCCTTTTTGCACAGAGGGAGCTGAAGATGGAAGGCTGTCCCTCTGGGTCCATGGAAGTGCCTTTCTGAGCTGTGCTGAGTGGCTCTTTCACGTGTTGATCGGATAGAAATCCTTCCCTGGAGGTGTCAGATGGCAGGCAGGGAGGTGAAAAAAACTTCCTTGTTGCTCTGCAGTGCAGTTTAAAATCTAAAATCGGCTAAAATTCGGCATCATCCATGTACCAAGTACACCCTTGATTCATTTTTAAAATTTGTTCGTGACTCTTTCAAATATTCTTGTGACCCACTTTTGGGCTGCGACCCGCGGGTTGAGAATTGCTGCTCTAAAGGGCGAGAGAACAGGACCAGGACTTCCCAGTCTCTCTCACCTTCTTGCCTGGACTGTTTGGAGGAATAAACCCACGTCTACACACAGCACATAAAACCCTCCTAAGATCAAACTGAGCCAGCAGCAGGGGAACGAGCCCGGCTCTCCTGGGCCAGGCACAGGCAGCTTGTAGCTCCTATTTGTAATGGCCGGGAGGTCTGGGCCATGGCTGGGGCCGCTGGATGCTCTCACCAGAGACGTAATGTTAACTCTCCCCCTCTTCAGCGGGGAGACCCCAGAGGAGGGGGATGCTCTGCTGTGCATCTGGCCTAGAGGCTTTCTCCCACCACATGTGCCTGCTGCGCTGTGTATGGCCTGCAGGCAGAGGAGCTGGCCTGAAAACCCCTGACTTGTTTGAGTAGCTGTTATCCTGCAAGGCGGGCAGCGACCCAGCCCTGCTGGGCTTAGATCCAGCACCAGGACGGCAGCTGCTGTGGAGCTGGATAGATGCCCAGAGTGACCCTGCGCTGCTGTGTGCCAGCCGGGGCCCTCCACACCCTGAGCGCCTTCCTCAGGGGCTGGTTGTAGGGGACCTCGTCTGCCCCTGGGCTGCG